TGCTGTCCGGCGGCCGCTCCCAGTGTTTACACCGATGCCGGCGGTGCGGATTGTCTCCGTATAATGCGGCGAGTGTGTCTGGATGTGTAACAAGCATTAATGTAAAAATGATACACCTGTAATTTCATAAATGCTAGAGGAACCACCCCTTTAGGTATGGGATGATTTGCTGCTTTTTTTAAAATTTATTTGTACTTTCTAAAATGTGGCTACTAGGGAATTGGAGTCTGTGCGTGTGGCTCATCTTGCATTCCTGTCGGAGAGCGTTGCTCTGCAGACGTGGTCCGCACTGAATCGCGTCTATCAGGCTCACCAGGAGCTGTTTCTTCCCAAGCGTCAGCCTGGTGACGCCTGTGGACCCACGTCCTGGTTAGCATGGAGAGTCCGTCTCTAATTAGCAAATGGCAGCTGGCATGGCCTTTGATATTCACCTAAAACATCCTCTCTGTTGTCTCCAGCTCTCAGACTCTCAAATCCTCTTGATGGTCTAGTTGGAAGAATTCTCTGACTTTGACACTTGATACTCTTTCCTGAACATAATTTTAAATTTGTCCTTGAAATCCATAAACCTCCAGCCATACGTATTTTTTGCTGCCAATATACCAACACCCACCCATCAATCCTGATCCCACAGGAACCATACCTGCTTGATTTTGCTACGAGGGGAGAAGCAGTAAAAAGATGCTATGTTCTGAAATCAGTCAATCAATGAGCACACCAACATTGTTCTATGAGGTACAGAGGGCCTCTTAGTACCGATTATTTGGCTGGTTTTCTAGGTAAATACTATCGTGACTGTACTCCCTGCTGTCAAACTCCAGGGCTCGTATGGTTGTTTCGTTTATAAATTGGTGCAGGTGCCGTCATGCACTTCACGTGTTGTCGGGCCTGGAAGTACATCCTCATCCATCTGCTAATGAGAGAAAATACACGCCTAAGCTTCAAGGACATATTCCCTCCCAAGTGTCATGTTAGAAACGCTTGCACCGAGCCTTCATCTGACCATTACTAGACAGAAGAGTCGGTATTGGAGGCCACTCAGTGGGACTCGGGGAATAAAATCTGATGCTCAAGGAATGTGATCATTCTTGCCTTCTCGGGGCCACTTCCACACTCCAGGAAAGTGGGTTACACATCTATTAGACTCTCTGGCCTAGAGAAACTCCCAGTCTGATGATCTTACTTGTGAATTATGGAAAGACAGACAACATGCTAGATGGACAGATAGATCGACATGGTCACCTGCAGGTACTGAGTGGGAAGGGCAGGTGAGAGTGGAGGCAGGACTTCAGGGGTGTCCTGGGGCAGCTGCAGCCCCGGCCTGGGCACTGGTGTCCTTGTTTATACACAGGAAGGCCTTGGGCCTTAGCATTCTCTCCTGTGGTTCTGTGAGTGAACCCTCTGCCCTGAAATTCCAGGGTCAGGAGCTTGAATCAGCTGGCACCAGATGTCACACGTTGCCTTCCCGCACCGTTTCTCATAAAATCAGATTTTGAAATGATTCGGACGCGGACACTCTGTCCCCCTGCAGAGTGAGGGGTGCGTCTGGCCACCATTCGGGTGATCCCCCCGGACCACCCAGGTACATGCCCCTGACTGGAATCGAACCTGGGACCCTTCAGTCCGCAGGCCGACGCTCTATCCACTGAGCCAAACCGGTTTCGGCTTTAAATATATTTTTATTGATTTCAGGGAGGAAGGGAGAGGGAGAGAGAGATAGAAACATCAATGATGACAGAGAATCATTGATCTGCTGCCCTCTGCACGCCCCCTATTGGGGAGCAAGCTAACAACCCAGGCATATGCCCTTGACTGAAATTGAAACCTGGGACCCTTCAGTCCAGAGGCCCACACTCTAGCCACTGAGCCAAACCGGCTAGGGCTAATACATAGTTTTAAGTTTGATGTAGTTCCATTTGTCTATTTTTGCCCCCATAATCTGACTTTTAACGGTTTTTTCATGTTGTTCTACTGACTTACACTATACAGCCACCTGCACAGGATATATAGCCTTTATTTTACGGCTCTCTTAACAAAATTATCTTTAAAAAATATTTTATATGTTTTTATTGATTTCAGAGAGAGGAAGGGGGATGAAGAGAGAGCGATAGAAACATCAATGATGGGAGAGAATCGTTGATTGGCTGCCTCCTGTACATCCATCCCCCACTGGGGATTGAGCCCGCAATCGGGCCTGTGGTCTGTGCCCTCCTGTTCATGGGTCCACGCTCAACCACTGAGACACGCCATATGGGCACAAAATTATTTCTTTTTTTAAAAAAATATATTTTATTGATTTTTTACAGAGAGGAAGGGAGAGAGATAGAGAGTCAGAAACATCGATGAGAGAGAGACATTGATCATCCGCCTCCTGCACATCTCCCACTGGGGATGTGCCCGCAACCCAGGCACACGCCCCTGACCGGAATCGAACCCGGGACCCCCCAGTCCGCAGGCCGACGCTCCATCCACTGAGCCAAACCGGCCTCGGCACAAAATTATTTCTTGAACTTGAAACCTTTCTTCTGTGTTTGGAGGGTTGGGCAGTCGGGGTTTGAAGTGCAGATGGAGGAGGACAGTGGTGTCTCTAGAGATTGTCTTGGGTTGGGTGTTGCCCACAGATAACTACTCCCTTCGGTTGTGGTTGTTTAACACACATCCTTATTGGTTGCAGATATAAACGGGTTTCTCCGTCTTGCCCGGGTCACACTCCTTTAGAGCTTTCTGTACGGTAGAAGCAGCACCGACCTGAGACCCACAACAAGGGCCCCGCCCCCAGCGCTGCTTCCTGGGTGTCCCTGTTGCTCACTTGCACCATAACCACCAGGAGTCCCACAGCCCCAGCCAGCTGCGCAGGAAAGAGTTAGTCCTAAAGCAGCCTGGACGGTCATCTGTGCTGCTGACTCGTTAGCAGAAATGGAATCTGCTGACTGTTGAAAGTTTTGTGAGAGAGTAAACCAGCTTCCTTCCTCTTTGCTCGGCTCATCTCCTGAACCCTGCGGGACGCAGGCCCAGTGCTGCGTGGACTTTGAAGACCAAAATGCTTCAGGATGTACATCCCAGTCGCCTGCGGCTGCTTCAACCACTGACAGCTTTGGTGTCGCTGCTGCTGGGTGAGTGGGGCCCCTCTGGGGTAGGGAGGTTTCCGCAGGGACCTGGGTGGTGAGGAGCAGTCCGGGCCCTCGGAGCTGCGGAGGGATCGACAGCAGAGGGAGAAGCCTGACTCTTACCCATCGGCCGGGCCCTAAGGCCGCAATTCAGAGGTCCTTCCGCAGTCTCTGCACCAGACGTTCACGTGGGCTTTGTGGGGGAGACAGGGATGAGACTAGGCCAGTGATGGCGAACCTTCTGAGCTGGGCGCGTCAGCATTTTGAAAAACCCTAACTTAACTCTGGTGCCGTGTCACATAGAGGAATTTTTGGATATTTGCAACCACAGTAAAACAAAGACTTATATTTTTGATATTTATTTTATATATTTAAATGCCATTTAACAAAGAAAAATCAACCAAAAAAATGAGTTTGCGTGTCCCCTCTGACACGCGTGTCATAGGTTCGTCATCACTGGCCTAGGGCGTGAGCAAGGAGCATCTTGCAGGAGGACAAGGGAAGCGGGCTCTTGTGGGTGCTCCGGGAAGAGGGCGTGCAGGCTCCCCCTGTCCCGCCCCCATACACTGCATCTGCTCCCTGGGCTCCCCTGACCGCCCTCTTCTCTTTCACAGCCTCTGCAGACCGGGGAGCTGGTGAGTCTGCTGAATGCCGCCTGGGATTTGCGGTGCTATTGCCTGTCCCACCAAGAGCAGGGCTTGGGCTCAGCATGGGCAGTGCCCCCTCTTTAGAGGGGCCTGGGGTTGGATTCTTGGTAAGACTCCTGCTGGAACCACAAAGACACAAAGGGAGGAGGCTGCCAGAGCACATGGGCCTGTAGTTGGATCTATAGTAGATTCGGCCTGAGGGCCCCTGGGAGCTCCTTTGGAATCCATGGGCCTCCCAGGTCACTGAGCTCCAGCCCTGTCTGCTCTCTGCCGCCAGGTCTCCCGAAGGCCGTGGTGAGCCTCCAGCCCCCGTGGCTCCAGGTGTTCCCCGGGGACAACGTGACTCTGAGCTGCCAGGGGGCCCACAGCCCTGGGGACAACTCCACCCAGTGGTTCCAGGATGGGACCGCCATCCCCACCCAGGTCCAGCCCAGCTACAGCTTCAAGGCCAGCAGCAACCACAGCGGGGACTACAGGTGCCAGACGGGCCGGACCAGCCTCAGCGACCCTGTGCACCTGGACGTGACTTCCGGTCAGTGGAGGAGCTGTGAGGCCGGGGAGGCGGCCTGAGAGCTGCTGGCCCGGCGGGGGGTTTGGGAACGGGGTGGCCGTTTCTGGGAAGTGTGGCCCGAGCTGTTGGAAGTGGTTTCTGCCCAGTCATTTCCCCTCGCACCCCCGCCGCCTTCGCTTCTATGTGGTTCCTCGGAGTATGTGAGGTTGTTCGGCCTCAGTCCTGATTGAGCAAGAAGGTGACAAGGCCACACACAGGCCACCGGGGGTGAGAGAAGCAGGAGGAAATATTTGTTCCAGACAGCCTCCTGCCTCGTGGCAGCGTGGTCAGCACAGTGGCTAGAGACCCACAGAAGGCAAAGGCCCTGGGTGGGCATGCCTGGCATGGGTGAGGAGGAAGACACGAGGCCGAAGTGGGGGGGGATTATAAATTTATTAGGTCATCTGGACACCGGATGGGCTGAGCCCCAAAATGGCGCCAGCCCCTGCAGACGGGGAGCCAGGTTTTAAGGACTCTGGGCGCTTCTTCTGGGCAGAGAGCTCTCTGTGCAGGTCTGGATTGCGGGGAAGTCGTATGGGAGAGAGAATGGTCTCAGCAAGTGGCATGTCCATTGTGAAGTGGCCTGAAGGCAGTTCCCAGGGGAGGGAACCGGCTCCGGCTCCGTTATTCAATCAGACCTCACTCTCACTGGGAGGACTTTGTGCTCAGGGCAGGAGGCTGGGGGAGGTGTGATCTGGAAGCCAACGGCAGAAGTTGGGGGCGGCTTGGAGTTTGGTGCAATGACGTCGTCTTTGCTCCTGAAGGAGATGGGAACTCATCAGATGGTTTAAATTGGTCTGACTTAGGGTTACATATATGTCTGAGCGTTCAGTCCAATAGATTCCATGGAGAAGTCCTCCTGCACACGAGCCACGCCCAGCCAGTGTGTGAAAATGTGAGCACATTTACACTGCAGTTGACTCTGATTTGGGCCGTATGCCCTGCGGATGGCTGCACGAGGCCGAGAGCCCCGTTTCTGTTGATGGACCCCCAGTGAGTGGGCAATCAGTACTGACGAGGGGTCAGAACAGCGCTCCCAGCATGGGCGACTTCGGCCTGGGAATTATTTTGAGCTGAAGGTGATGGAGACCCAGCCGGGTCCTGAGGAGCCCTTACCTCTCCCTGAAGAAATGAAGAGTTATCACCAGCAAGAACTATGCATGGCCCCTCCAGAGGGCAGGGCACGCTGCTAATTACTGGACATCTTCTCTTCGTATGTCCTGCATGACCTTCCTCCTCTCCCAAGCCCCCGTGCCTTCCCGCACCCCTAGCTCGGTCATACACCCCCCATCATCCTTCCTGTCTCTCTCGTGTCTGTGTGATCCCGCACATACTGGTCTGTGTGCACTTGAGCGTGCTCATTGTTCCTTGTCACTCTGTCCCGAGCCTATTTAATTATTAAACAAACAAGAACCTACAAGGTTCTCTTCCTCCGTCCCCCCGCCCCCAGCCTCAAAACCTGCCCAGTGACCTCACAGCTCCCTGTTTGCTCTCTGGTCCAGGGCTGCCCCCAGCAGCTGGCTGTGCTTCTGACTTTTCCTACAAAAATGCAAAACTTGAGATTTTAAAAACCTTTGCTCCGAAGGGTTGTTAAAGGGAAGCCACCTGGTCCCCGCCCTTCACTGTGCAAAGAAATGCGGCCACAGGCCTCGGCCCAGCTCGGGGGAGCCCAGGTCAGAATCCCTGGGCTGACTCATCACCGACACCTTATCCTTCACAGTCAGACTGCGGTTTCTTAAATAAGCGCAGTGCGCTCCAGTCTTTATTTTCATAGGAATTAGAGCGATTGGGGTTTTCTAGTGTCTTCGAAGCATTCTCTAGAGCAGTGGCTCTCAACCTTCTGGCCCTTTAAATACAGCTCCTCATGTTGTGACCCAACCATAAAAGTATTTTCGTTGCTACTTCATAACTGTGATGTTGCTACTGTGATGAATTGTAATGTAAATATCTGATCTGCAGGATGGTCTTAGGCGACCCCTGTGAAAGGGCCGTTCGACCGCCAAAGGGGCCACGACCCACAGGTTGAGAACCGCTGCTCTATAGCCTTGTCCTCCCAAGCACTGACCTTTGGAGTCTGGTGGCTCTGCCTCAGTGAAGGGAGGCGCTCGCGGTCGGGGTGGAGAGCGATTGCCCACTGGAGGCCTGTGCTACCGCTGCCCTTGTTCCGAGCCACCACTGAGCCTGGTCTCCGGGCTCACGCCTGCTCCCTGCTGCGGCGGCTGGAGGTGGCAAGGCCTTACCAGGCTCCCCGGCTGCTCCTTCACTTCCCAGAACGTGTTCGGTAGCTGCCCTCCCATTAGGAGCCCAGACCCTCACGCTCGCCCTGGAGTGGCTGTGTGTCCTTGGTCGCCGTCAGAGGAGACCTGAGGGTCCCCTCCTGCACGGTGGCAGGTTCAGGTCCTGCTCGTCACCTCCGCGGTGCTGGGGGCAGCTTCTAACTCCTCACCTGGCGCCCGAGGGGCTCCTACTCTTTATATTAAACTCCGCCAGGCTTCCTTCCTTCAGGCCCCAGGCTCACCGGTAAGAGAGCCGCACACCTGCCAGGCGATCTCCCACGGCTGGGCCCACAGCCTCTCCTCCTGGGAGTAAGGCAGCCCCACAGGAGCTGCAGGGCCCATCCAGCCTCAGACCCTCTCCTTCCCTGTCTTCCAGCCTGGCTGCTGCTCCAGACGCCCCGCCTGCTGGTCCCGCAGGGGGCCCCCATCGTGCTGCGCTGCCACAGCTGGAAGAACTGGCGCCTGTACAAGATCCAGTTCTTCCAGGACGGGAGACCCAAGTGGTTTTCATACACGAACGCCAGCTTCTCCATCCCACACGCGAACGCCAGCCACAGTGGCGCGTACCACTGCTCAGGGCTCCTCGGGCAGATGCAGCACACATCGCAGCCCGTGAACATCACCGTCCCAGGTGGGAGCTTCAGGCCCGGGAGGACGGGGAGGCGGGGCTCCCTCAGCACCGGTGCACCCTGAGAGGCCTCAGTGTCTAGCTGCACCTGATGGCGGGGTGGACACGAGCGCTGGTCCAGCTCCCTCCTCAGGGATTAAAGAAACGGTGTCACTCACTGGGAGTTTTAACTCTCAGGGGATAAAAGCCACCTTTTCATCCTCTCATCCACCTCGCAGACACACCACCTTCCCTCTCCCGCCTCACTGAGACCACGTGGTCACATGTCCCTCTGTCCGCAGGACTCGGAGGCTGGCTGGTGTCTCCCAAGACCCCTCAGCCTCGGCTCCAATCTTAGCTCGGGGCAGCCAGGCGGCATGGTAGTCTCTCATATACAAAGCACCAGGCCGCCATCTGATCTTGAGAAATTGTGCGCTGTGAGCTCCAGAGTGCATCCTGTCAGGGACACTCCAGGCCACTTCTGCCAGATGAGGGCTAGGCCACGAGTGCTGCCCAGTCCCGGGCGCAGCAGGAGGCGGGGGAAGTGCTGGGGATGAGGTCTGTGGGTTCCCTCGTTCACTTCTCCCCAAGGCTGTGCCCTGTCATGTTTTATATTCACGATGCACATTAAAGGCTTTGAGAAGCCTTGTTGTAAAGAAAACTTTTAAACTAAATTTCATAAGGCATTTGCAAAACCCACATGACCACAAAAACCTTTTCCTCTATGACTATGTGGGAGAGGAAAAATGTTCTCTACCCTTTAAGTTTCTCTCATCTGGTCTAATAATTAAAATGATGAGATAGATTAACAAAAAAATGAGCAAATTCAATTACACACCTACCTATGGGGACCACAGACACGAGAGAATCAGAGACAGAAAGGGACATGCGACATTCCGAGCTAAGGCTGAGGTGAGCGGAGGGGTGGGGGGCGGGTTTGGCGGAAGGCTGTTGCAGGGTAAGAGCAGATGCTCAGTACTGAACTAGTTTTCTCTGCCCCCTACATAGGCCATAGGAAGTTACTCCTGCCCTGGCTGGTCTGGCTCAGTAGGTAGAGTTCGGCCTGTGGACCCCTGGTCCCGGGTTCAGCTCTGGTCAAGGGCATGTACCTCGGTTGCAGGCTCCTCCCTGGCCCCAGCCCTGGCCGAGGCTCGTGCAGGAGGCAACCAGTCCACGTTCCTCTCACATCGATGGTTCTCTCTGTCTCCCCTCTCTCTTCCACTTTCTCTAAAATCAATGGAAAACGTTTCTCATGAGCCCACAGGGTCTCGATTGCCTTCAGCTCAAAACATCCACATGCCAACGTGGCACCACGTGGGGAGCCCCTTCAGCTCCTATCACTGTCCCTCCGGGCACTCAGCTCAGCTCCCCCGGGGCAGGTGCTGAGGGGGCCTGGAGGACTCCACAGAGGGAGGGAGCCCTGGGGACCTGGCTGTGGATTCTGACCGTGGCCTTTAACAACTGTCGTTTCTCCGTCCGCAGCCCTTTCACCCGTCCTTCCTCCGTGGCCCCAAATCGCGTTCTGCCTGGTGATGGGGCTCCTGTTTGCGGTGGACACGGGGCTCTATTTCTTTGTGCAGAAAGCACTCCGAAGCTCAGCGAGGGACTGGAGTAGTGACAAAGTCACGTGGACCAAGAGCCCCGAGGACAAGTAACGCCTCCTGGCACCTGTAAGAGCTACAGGTCTCCGCAGGCCAGACCTCTGCCCCCCACCCCCAGCGCCCCCTGGTGGGCGAGCCGGAGCTGCGAGGGGCCTGGGAGCAGGAAGGGCCTGTAATCTCAGAGCGAACCACCCCCAGGCTCTCCCTCACTGGCTTCCTGCTGGTCAAGAGGACTGACCGCTGTCTTCACAGGCCCTCACAGAGGCCCCACATACGCACGCTCACCAAGTCCTGCTTCCACTTTCTTTTTTTTTTAAATTAAATCTTTTTAAAAAAATATATTTTATTGATTTTTTACAGAGAGGAAGGGAGAGAGATAGAGAGTTAGAAACATCGATGAGAGAGAAACATCGATTAGCTGCCT